TTTCTTCCTAATCCGTAGGTCAGAGTTTACAACAGTATTCATAAGGTTTGCATCAGAGAAAAAAGGATACCTCAACGCAAGTCTTAATGGGAGATATAATCCAGCAGCTTTGAATGGGGGGGGCAAGATGGGTTAAATGGGGGTGGGGGGGCCTCAACCTCTAACTAACAATTTCTCCAGCATAAAAATGAAGCATCAAATTCGTTAGCCCAGGGCCTTCATTTTTCCCCTTCCACATTATAACTAGTTATTGAACTCGCTGGAAGATCTAAAGGCCATTTGCGAAGAGACAAATTTCAATGGAGTTTCCCCATCAATAACCCCATGGCAGTGACCTATTGGAACAAGTCAAACACCCGAGGTGAAATGCAGGTCACTCTGTCTAACCAATATTAAAATGCGGCCACTTTTTAAAAAGCCACTTTAAACGAGATTTGAGGAAAATTGAATTCCAAGGAAGGCAAGGCGGGGGAGATCTGCAAGAGGACTTTTTGCCTATGGTCTCCGAATAAACAAGAGAAATTCATCTTTAATATTTTAAAAGGGACAAATTAACATTCTGTGATTTCTTTTTTTTCTTTCTTTCCTTTTTTTTTTTTCCTTTTTGAGACTATTAGCAGTTCCAGGAGGGTGAAAAAGGTTGAGTATTTTCTAGTGACACATCCAGGTTATTAAAATCATTTTAGACCAATTCATTACTTTTACTGACAAGAGATTTAAGAAAAAATCAATTAAGCATTTGCATATACTTTCGCATACATTAGTCCTGCCTGCTGGCATTAGGAAAGGACAGAAACATACATATACCCATGTACACACAGAGAGATACACAAAGGAAAAAAAATGGTGTAAGAATCTTGTTTTAGTTTGGGGTTTTCAAGTTGCCTGGGGGAGAAAAAAATCAAAATGAAATGAATTGCCTGATTGCATACCATCTAAAAGTCAATTTATTTGAGGAAAAGGAAAGAAGCATGCTATAATTTGTAATCCCTAAAACAATACAAAGCACATACATTAAACAACAACAATCACCCAAGCCCTGTACTTCAGAGAGTGGGAGTGACCTTTATTTTCCTTCTTTTTACCATCTAAATCCTGAATTGTTTATTTTATATTTTATTTTATTTTTTGTCCCTCAGAAAATCCAGGGAGTATAAGGTGGGATTTTACTGCAGCACAGAATCTGTGGAGCCGCTGGAGTACCTCAGCCGGCATCTTGTTACTGGGGAGGGGAGGAATATGGGTTAGCCAACGGTCAGTATGGTAATCCGGGCACAATAAGGCCTCTCACAACAATGGACACATATTTTTCTTCAGTGGTGTCAGAAGGGAAGCGCTTTGTACTGAAACATGTTTCCGAAAGAGAAACCAGATCGAGATTTAGAAAGGAGATTTAGAAAGGGTGTGGGGCAGCATTCAGAGAGCATTTGGATGCTGGCAAGAGGTGGTCAGAAAACATAAAGAATAAAACTGGGACCAAAGGAAGTGGAGGGCAGACTTTGGGCTGATGAGGCAGGAGGCAGGAGAAGGAAGCACAAAGAAAACCAAAGGATACAAGGATTCATCACTGGGGAGGGCCTCTTTAGTACCCCCTCCCACACCAGTTAAGCCCCTACTAAGTCAAAAATCCTCTACAGGAAAAGATTTCCTTGTTAGTAACAATGTTCAGGTAAACATGTTGTATTCGTATGTGTGGTGAGGTGTTTAACCCATGTGATAGGCAACTTCCTAAGCTACAGGAGCCCCCCAAAGAGTTTTTGTTTGTTGTTTGGTTTTATTTTTATTATTATTTTTATAAGGGACGTAGATAAGAGTGGACACATTTGGGGACTTCATAGATTTTACTTTCTGGTTATTCATGCTGAATTAGCTGTGCAAACCTGGAATAGGGACTACATTTATTAATGGCTGCATAAAAGGCACTTAATATTTTAGCAAATATTAATAGCATGTACAGATATGTATTTGCTAACCATAATAACCAAAGACAAACTTGGCGTTCAGTTTGAGGCATCTGAACCTGTGTCTATTAATTTAGACTTGCCCAGAGAGAGTTTCCTGGACTCACCTGCAGGGGCTAAGAATTCTAGGAGGTCTAGGGGCAGGTACCACCTTGGGTAATGTCTTAGGAAGGTTACCTTAGTACATTCGAGGTTAGAATTGAAGCAAATAGATTGAGGTGGGAGGAAAGCAGACAGCTCATTTTTGCAGGAGAGGAAAAGAATATTCCCAGATGGGGCATAGTGAGGCAGCATAGCCAGGTACAGGCCTAGAAAGGAAACCAAGTTGAAGGCTGAAGGAACTCTACTTCCCCTCACTCTTCCTACCCTACCACTGCTCTCTGGGGCTTTGGGGAGCCATGTGAAACAATTGGGAGCTATTGCTTAGACCTCTGTAGAATGGGATTCAGTACTAGCTTTCCTTTATCCACTTCCAGCAATTTGTAGTTCACCCCCACCAGCAGAATTAAGGGGGGAGGGAGAGAGACAGAGAGAAAGAGAGAGCCAGAGAGAAAGAGACAGAAACTAGAGAAACAGATAAGAGAGACAGACACACAGATAGAGAGAAACACACACACACACCCAGAGACAGAGAGACAGAGAGAGACAGAGACAGAAACTAGAGAAACAAATAAGAGAGACAGAGACACAGACAGAAATACACACACACACATACACACACATACACACACACACACACACACACACACACAGAGAGAGAGAGAGAGAGAGAGAGAGAGAGAGAGAGAGAGAGAGAGAGAGATTTAAAGTCTTCACACAGCTCCCTGACACCAACAACCTTGTATCCTGCGTTCCCCTCACTCACAGCCTTGAGCTTCTCTTCCAAGCACACAGTCGGTCCTCAGGGTTCAGATCCAAATGAGCAAGAATTCTCCAAAAGCTCTAGGGGTTTGGGAGTCTTCTGTAAGAGATGGTTGACCACCAGGAAATTCCTGTTTTCTCGCCCAGCTATTGGGGGGCAGAGGGGGCGCCATCTCTTAGGAAGAGAGCATCTAGGGCTTTGAAGCACCAAGTGGGGCCAAGCCCCGGTGAGCCTCTGGCTGGGGCTGAGGCAGGGGCCCTAAGTATCTAAGCAGGGAAAGCAGCCAGAGGCCCAGGCCCAATCTGTGTCTTTGGGCTTTACTGTGGTACTCTCCCATTATAGCTCTCAAAGTGAACCTTAATTTGGAAGAGGGGACCCTTTCCCACATCCCAAAGATGGTGAAAAGAATGTTGGAAATCTTCTATTTTCAGTATCTCCCTCACGGAGCTTTTTTTTTCCCCTCCCTCTTCCCCCTCCTCTTTCCCTTAATTGCAGATGTTCTAATTAAACCCTCAAATAGTTGTTATGCTGTTTTAAAAGGTACTTATTCAAGTGTCAACCAGGCTGGGCTGGGAGGAGGCAGCATAGGGCGGCGAATTAAAGGTAGATTGACTAATCACGGCGGCGATCATAATAATAAAATCAGAGGGAAAAAAATCACATTACGACTTTTCGTGGAAAGGAGGGAGCAGGCAGCCAGCGGCCGCCAGCCCTGTGCTGCCGACACAAAGAGTGCGGGCGATTCCGCGAGACTGATTTATGACGTTTTACAGCCCTATAAAAGCTGTAGCGAGGAGGCAAGCGCTCCTACCACCGCTGGCAGATTTAGTCTAATAAATAAAACATAAACAGTTAACTTTATGTGTCACTTTTATTGTTATCAAGTAAAATATAGCCGAGCCCCGGCAAGCTATGATTTTAAACTATAATTGTTATCAAGTACAACAAGGAGACCTGGCTCCCACCCTGGGTTTTCCCCTCTGCTGCCCCCCCCAACTCTGAGTTATAGAAGATCAGTTAATTGGAGTCCGATGATGAGGCCACCCCTAGCTGAGGAACCAGCGGCTGGAAAAATAGTCCTTCCTTGCCCCTTCTCTCTTCCCTGACTCTGCCACCTCCCATGAGGATATTCTGTGTGTGGGTGACAGAGGGAGGGAGCAGGGCAAGAATAGGCCAAAGACCCCTGCCCTGCCTCCAACGCTTAGTTACCTCACCTCTTCTTTTTGGAAGGCAGCCTGGAGCTGGCCCTGGGGAATATGTGTTTACATGTAAACACACGTGTTACACGGATACAGTCTCAGACTAGAAGTAAGCAGGCTCTGCCCACACAGGCCTCCCTCGAGAGTAAGACATAGTGGAAAAGAGGAAAAACTCTCAGTGCCTTGGGTCAGGGCACTGATTCCTGCTCCTGGAAGATGTCTCTTCTCTCTTCACTCCTCTCTCTTTCTCTT